ACCCTAATGATCTTTGACTAACGTGCCTGTCTTTGCCTTGGCACGCAATATCCAACGTGTGGGAGCTTCTATTGAATCTGGTTGCGCATGCCCGTGACGTCAAATCTCTATCGAAGTATAAAAATCCATGTTCGTGACGTGTATGGTGGCTCCAGTTGAACCAAAATCTTATATATTTTCATGAGTGTTTTAAGCAGTTCAAAAAACTCGTAGATCGTGTTTTATCAGGTATAAAAGCACTCGGCTACGCCTCGTGCTTTTATATCTGATAAAACACTCCTACTCGTTTATTAAACAGTACATCATAAATTGGTTATTATAACCAACTATTAATTGTGTATTCAACCACCATAAATTGGTCATTATAACCAATTATTAATGGTGTATTAAAATGGTTAAAACTACCAATTAATAAATGGTCATTACAACCATTGGCAATTGATTACCACAGATCCATTTTTCAACCATTTTTTTGTGGTAGATTCAACCAAACCATTTTTACAGTGCAGAACGCGACATTCATAACAGGTATTTTATAATTCTAATTTCTTTTACCTTCAGGCTGATTTGGTTTTACTACCATAGACGTATCAATGGTTGGTATTGGTTTTTCGGTTGGGATCACCGCAACAACTGGAGAGGAAAGAAAGAATAATTTAAAAGACAATAATCGAAGATCACGTGTCACGCGCGGTTTTAAGGTATGCAAAGTCAAATGAAACTTGGCTTCAGTTAATTCTCGATTGATGACAAGGCTTTGTGTCTTAGTTTCAAGATAATATTAAAATACCAAATGACATGGAAATATAAGCAATAGTTGTGTGTCGAAGGTTCGAACAGTTGTATTTAATGTTTTATTTAATTATAAGCGATGAAGCAAAAAGGCAGAATGTTCCATTTTGGTCTCAAATGTTTCAAATGATTTTTTTTTTTGGCGCAGGAGAATCGCTCTTCTCAGTGTCAGCGCGTCTCTGTGCGTGCTCACTAATGCCGATATAGAACTTTTGGGTACCTTTCCAATTCATTTCAACCAGAATTGACCTCAAATCTCGAGAAAATGGCAACGCTGATCTATCGCAAGATAACTCATTGAAGCAATCCACGGCATAGCAGAATGACTCCAGCATGTACACTATGTCTCCTTTCTTCAGTGAGCAGACTTTTTCGATGCAATCTTGAAGGCTTTTTACATTTCCTATTCGTATGTATGTGCCTGCACCTACTCCTTTGCTGAGGGTTGTATTATAGTAAGTCTTGCCAGGTACGCAGGCCTTTTCGAAATCTGTTTATTTGAAGGAAAAAGAAAACAATGCTTCAATCTTCAACAATGTGTTCCTTTGCCCTCTTAAAAGTTAAAAGAAGAAGGAAAGTAAGAAAGAAAAAAGAAAATTCAAAATAGCTGTAGATTTAGCTTTTTAGGGTTATTTACGGAGACAACCGCTGATAAAACATACCTTGAGCCCACGATGTCGTCAAAAGAATAGCAAAAATCAAAATGGCGCCTAGCTGAAGCAAATTCTTTTCCATTTTCGCCTAGTAAGAAAATAAAATTAAAATAGATTAACTAAAGAATTAGGTTTCTTTGTAGACTAAATAAATTTTCTTTACTTTCATTTAAACGCGCTGCTACTCCTTGAAGTATCGACTACAAAAAAGAGGTTATTTACTTCCGCCGCCATGTTTGTTGTTCGGACCATTCTTCACTTGAAGKTCGTATATCATAAGAAATGGTTGAATTTTTTTACAATTTCTTTTATCCATTTAGGATAATCGAACAACGAGATTTATAAACTATTTTGAAAATTTTAGTTTCMAAAATRACCTTCARTATTTCAAAAATGTTAGGTGCGTATTGTTGATAGTCAAAATATTTCAYTGATTCGGCTTTAGATTTAGATTTGTAAARATGATTAAGSMCCCGTYCACACTATGCCGGATAAATTTGAATCCGAATTTTTATTTATTCGGTTCCATTTCGAAAATTSGTTTTCGGTGAAGAATTGTTCCGGATTCGCCCGGACTAGTGTGGACGGTAGGCCTAACCGAATAAATAAGAATTCGGATTCAAATTTATCCGGCATAGTGTGGACGGGGCCTAAGTTTTCAGCAGTGAAACCCTTTCATTTTTATATCAATTATTTGTTGTTCACCATGTGGTTTTGGGATTAAATCCAAAGAAAAAATTTYCGCAACTGGAAACATAACGAATGAATTAATTTAACACAAAAAATGTTAATAGTTACATAGTCGTCCCAAAGCGGCTTTAGTTATTGTGTACTTGCTAAAAAATTATATCAAGAGAAAAGGAAAAAGGCGTTCAATACTTGTGCTTGAATAACGGGAAATTTGGCTATTGAGGAAGGCAATGCCGAAAATAGTTTTTGTCTCTATCCTTTGGCTTTTCCAAGATWTATAAAAAATATGGGTGCCTTTAAGGTTGAAGTTTAAATAATTTCATTTTAAKTTAGTATACATATTCTCACTATTCTCTCGATATTCATATGTAAACGTTTGGAGTCAATTTCCAAAAGTTGTCGAGATATCTTCTTCAAAATTCATTCAACTCTATCGTGATGTGGTAGCTTTTACAGACACAATAAAAATACAACATCTGTACTTAGAGCATCTTACCTCTTAAACAATGAAAATTTTTAGTTTTTAAAGCGCATATCCCATTTAAACAATCAGGAAATTTGAAGGTTTTCAACTTGCTAARCGGGAGGACATTCACACCATGATAAATAAATCTGCGAGATTTTTTTGTCTTCCAATCTGCATATAGGGAACAAAATGAAATATTTAGATTAACAMAAACGAAAAATACCATACCTGTCGACCAAATTACAACTATTGGCTGACWTTTCAAAATAAATTAATATACATAAAATTATTTTATTATTTAAGATGAAGGTAAGTCAAGATAAGTTTTATAGTTTCTGGCCTATTTTCTCAAGCCTATGGTCTGAGTAGTTAACTGTTAAGAAAAATGTCCATTTTCTTTTCTCGCCTTTTTCACCAAAATTTGGGACTTCAAATTCCATAACATTCATGTGTTCTTTACCCCATGGAGTCCTGAGTTTTGACCACAATTAGYAACAAGCTATAACAAGGTTTAAAAATAAATTTATTCGTGAGTAAAGTAAGTGCAAAGCGTTTTCTTCATGTGTGATGCTAGAAGGTGACTGACTTGAAGTTGGCTTTACTGATTTGAGCGCAAAAATGAGTTGACAACTACGTCGGTTGAAAACCACTTCTCATCTTGAAATCTTTGATTTTTTAATATAAATTTTTACTTGAAAATTAGCAAAAGAATTATTAAGAATTTCGACTGTTTTCCTGCTCAAGGCGAATAACTTTTCTTTTACAGTTCAGAATAAACAGAAAAGCCATGTGTGTACGTCTTTGCAACAACACTAATKTAGAGTAGGCTTGGCGTCCTTATTATATAGTTTCACTAACCAAACTGATTGAAATTCTTGACTTTGTTCAATTATCTTATATGCAGTTGGACGTCCTCTAAAATTCAGTTAAATTTATTATGATAACTGTAAACTACTGTAAACGTGATTTAAATTTGTTGATTCGAGTTCAAGTGGAAAGCTTTCCTAAAACTTTTCCGGTGTTCAATAAAGAGTATTTTTAKGATATGAAAAACTTATAACGTTAAAAACGATATATCTTTCCATCAAAAAGAAAGTTTAATATTTTCTAAAGAATCTCATCAAACGAAAAGCCATTTTTTACTAGTTTTAATATATTCTTTTCTAGGATACTTTTGCAATATTATATTTTTGACGATATTTTGAAATGCCTACACACCAAAAATGAATTGAATTGTATTATAACTGTCAAAATCAGAGTCTTTTCAATATCGAATGAACAATTAAAGATAAGTAATACGAAACAAACACGAATCAACATAAATATTTACATGTTTAGCGCCATTCAAAATGAAGAGAAGCCATGCTGATGCTTCAGCTTCACATATGTAGCTTTGCAAGTTGCTCCGCAAGTTTGAATAATTACGTTATCCCAGTTTTGTTGCAGAATTACAGAATAATGAATATATGATTACAGGGGTAAACAYTTTCAACATGGTGTGAGGAATTCATTGGAAACTTTGGTGGAAAGATTATGATACTGAGCAAGCTAGAGAGAGAGGGAGTGAGAGCGAGTGATCGAGGACGCGCTCTGCATGAGCGTCGTGGTTTTGAATATCAATGAAGTGTACCAACAGGTACTATACCGCACGCGCTTGCTGCTTGTTYTATTGCAAGCCAAACTGTTTTTATTCAAGCTAGTGAAGCTTTAGACCAAAGTCATCAAATTCTTTAAATTTTACATGGCTGTACTGAATYAAATGCTCTTGTTGAAGAACGGCAAGCTATAAAGAAAAGGTTCCCACMCGACAGGTGCAAGTTTGAACTCAATGAGTCCGTAATCGAAGGGGAAAAAATATTACCACRAAAACTGAAGAAATTTTAAGAAAAATAGCACTGAAGTAATAAGAAAACAAGGATAAGAAGAARATGGAAGCTGAAGCAGTAGCAAGAAAGGCATCGCAAGCTCCAGGCTTCGCTTTATCTGAAGTGACATCAAGAATGCAAGAATTGAAACTACAGTTGAAAGATATGGAAGAAGACTTGCTTTGCTTGAGGGAAGGTTACAAAATGATTGAAGATAGAGTTAATGTTCTCGATGAAAGCGGCAGTAGACGAATTACTGGTCGAAGAACAAGAAACTCAGCATGACTAGCATCTTTYGAAAAGACAGTAAGAAAAGTTTGAAAACAAACAAAAATGAAAAACATAAACAAAGATTATCTATTGATTTTATTAAGTAATTTTCGCTTCCTGGGAAATAATGATTATATAGCTAAGATAACTTAACCTGAAATTCCATTTTTTGTACAAAAAAAGGGGAAACAAATAATTACATTGTTTTTATTTTTCAATTGAAAATATGTCTAATGTCATTATGTTTGAATCCTCAAGCACTTACTTATTCGGTTAAAATATATTATATGTGCAATTTTTGTAATAATTGAATTTAGATAAGTTTGACTTCAGTATACATTGGTTGATAAATAGTTTTTGGAAAATACAAATCATATTTACTCTGTATGTAGAGCGAAATCTTATAAACTAAAGTTTATTTCATAAAACTCAGTTCGATATAATGCTATCGATATTCTTATGTACAAACTTTATAAAAAATATGTGATTTTAGAATGTCTTTATAATTTTTAGTAAAAATACTTGAATTACTTCACATTCAGTGGCGGATCTAGGGGTGGGTTTTGGGGGTTGCAACTCCCCCTATGAGAGCCATCGTGATTTTTTTTTTCATGACAACACCAACAGCATCGCGAGTTTTATTAAAACATTATATACACATTGCCATTGTCACTGCCTTAACCTCTCCATCGCAGCATCATGTAAAGTTCAAGAAGTACGAAACCTTATAGGCGTCGTAAATGAAGTCTACCTATTCCTTAAAAATAGCCCAAAGAGACAGAAGCTATTTGAGCTTGTCCTTTCAAAGTACCTTCCCGATTTTTCACGAAAGAAGCTTCCAGGGCTCTGGAAAACACGATGGGTTGAGAGACATACAAGCTTTGACACGTTTCTGGAGCTATATGAGATTGTTGTGTTATTTCTATAGATGCTATTGTTTCTCCAAATGAGTACCCAGATCTATGTTCATCTACTGGAGAATGGGACTGGGATAGAGATACAAGTGTTAAAGCTCATGGACTCAAATCGTCCCTGTCTTCATTTATGACTGTTGTTGCTTTTATTATAACGAAGAACGGATTGGATTATGTCAAAGCCGTTGCTTTCAAACTTCAGAAAAGAGATCAAGACGTATACGAGACTTACAAAATGGTTGACGATGTTATCAAGTATCCAGGATACCAGAAATGCTGTAGATGATAGATTTGCAGCGTGGTATAGTGACATAAAAGATTTGGCAGCAAATGTAGAAGTCACTGAATCTGTTCCAAAGAAAACAGCACTTCAAAGGTTCCGAAATAACACACCAAGCGAAAGTCCTGAAGTCTATTATAAAAGAGCCATTGCAATTGCACTTCTCGATTCTCTTATAAGCCAGATGAAAGAGCGGTCTCTAACTGACGAAGGACGTCATGCACACCATCTTCTGTCACTGATACCATCTGTAATTGACAGCAAGAACCTGAGCCTCACAGATAACATTGCAGGGTTGATGCAGGTTGGGAGGCATGCAGATATGCCATTTGCAAAGTCCTTCTAGAGTGAGCTTCAAAGATGGCAGGTGTTATGGCAAGGTGCTACTCAGAGAGATACTCTTCCAGACAACCTCCTCGAGACGCTTGCTGTATGTAATGAAGATTTCTTCCCAAACACTCCACAGCCTCCTAGTTGTAATTGCCTGCACTTTACCGATATCAAGTGCTGAGGCAGAGCGATCCTTCTCCCTAGAGAAGGATAAAGACCTATTCCAGATCAGTCATGTCGGAACAACGTCTGTCTGACATAGCTTTAATGGCAATGCATTACGATGTCAGATGCCCCACAGATGAAGTATGCAAGTCGTTCATCAAAGCTCATTCTAGAAGACTTTTCAACGCCTCACTGCTTGATGATATGTAGATTATTACTATATATATCACATACAGATACTTATATTTTATTACTACAAATGGCTATTAAATATTTTTTGACCTCAGTAACGATTATGACATTTAACTGGCTTGAAACTATGCCTCCCTAACCCTTTTGTCTGCTATATCTCTCCACTACCTCAATCAACGCTACAACCCCCCCCTCCCTTTAAAAAAATCCTGGATCCGCCCCTGACATTGCATTATCTATTATATTGTCAAGAAAGTCTCCAAGCTTAGCGATGAATAAACTCCCCTCGTAAGATGAAACAGCCAGTCTACTTTCTGTGTCGTCAGCTTTGTTTGTTGAGAAGGCAAAGTGTAGAAGTTGAGCACGAGGGTCCAGGGAAGAATCAAGGTTGGTGAGCCTCTTCAACTCGCATCCTGATACGGGATCCCAGAATCTGGTAATAACAATTATAGATTAGTTTGCAAGGTAGARTTTTAATTCACTATCAAGAATCGAGAATTCTTTATTTATTTGCAGCAGTAGCAGCAGCATCAGTAATATCATCAATAATRTCATTTATCGCCAACGTCATCATCAACACGATCACCCTCATAATCATCTTCAGCAGCGACAGCAGCGGCAGGAGGATTATACCTCCTTCACCACGACCATCATCATCAATHAATCACCAGCTGACGATGAAATAGTACCACCACCATCATCGCGGCTCGYYACTGACACCAGCATCTCCAATACCAACACCAACACTACAATGACAACGTGCCATCATCATCAATTAATCACCAGCTGACGATGAAATAGTACCACCACCATCATCGCTCGCCACTGACACCAGCATCTCCAATACCACCACCAACACTACAATGACCACGCGCTTCTACCATGTGCTGCTACCACTTTACGAAATTCCTTCACCCATTTACAATGATATGAACATAAAATGATTTACCTGAAGCTTCGATCACTAGAACACGTAGCTAAAAAGAAATATTCTCTGTATATGACAAAAGCGCATTTCCAAATGATATTCGAGTGTCCCTGTATGATATTCAGTTGTATTCCTTGCCTTGCACTCCACACTCGAATCGTAAGGTCGGCCGAACAGGACGTCAAGATTTCATCACTGATCGGCGAAAAAGCACACGAAGTAACCCTCTTTTTATGACCTTTTAAAACAAGAGGTTTTTCAGAGTGAARTGAGCGATAATTTTTCCAAATTCGAATCGTTTTATCTCGGGAACACGACGCGAGGACGTTGTAGTCGAGCGGAGAAAAAGAAATGYCTTCGACTACATTTAGATGTTCGTCAAAAATATGAAGCACAACATTTTTGATGTATTGCCAAATTATGATCTTTCTGTCAGAAGAACAGGAAGCTATGGTTTTGGACGAACCAGGACAAAACTTACAAGCCCAAACAGTTTTTTCGTGTTTATCCATTGAGGTAATCTCTTCGTGTTCGGATACATCCCAGATACGYACTGTCTTGTCGCTTGAACATGAACAAATTAAGGTCGCTTTAGAATTGAAATCGCAGTTCCAAACAGCTCCTTGGTGTCCACGAAGAGTAGAAACGTGAGAGCATCGCTCGACGTCCCAGAGTTTTAAGGTTTGATCTCCGGAACAAGTCGCAAGCAGTTTTCCGTCCGTTGAAAAACAACAGCTTTCCACAAATGTTTCGTGTGCTTGAATTCGCTCAAAATGGTCTTCTTCTCTAAACATTTGAGAAGGWGGAATTCTCCGTGAGGAATCTAAAAATCAATTCCCTTTTCTTGTATTTTATAATATTTTAGTGCAAAAACACGTGAAAAACTACCACGCCTAGGATGTAACTTAGCAACTAATTTTTTTCTTCAATTGTGACGTTTATGACGTAAATAATCTTTAACCAATTAGATATAAGTATGTCATTACGTTTCCCGCCAATGCAATTGATATCCAATCAAAACAAAGGAATTTCCAACCAATCAGGTAAAAGAAAATAGTAGTCAGCTGTGCAGGTTGTTCATGGGCTCATTCAATATGGCGGCTGATTGAAATGGTTGTTGTTGTTGGAAACGAAAATTCGTGAAAATTCCAGTTTAATTTGATGCCAGCAGGCTGTTTTGATTGCTTCGAGGGTGTGCTGATGGGTTTGAGGAAGTCTAAACCACATAATAACAGACATTATCATGGAGATGATGGTCTTATTGATGTGATTTCAACTCATCAAGTTGTTGACTATGATGCTGTTCATCGTGATGCTGTCACTTGCGTTACTGCTTACTCCGAGGCATTTTGTTTATCTGGAAGTGCAGACAGAGTGAGTATTGAATAGCCTATTTCCGAGATATGCTTCGTTTAACACGTAAAATGGTTTCAGTACTAGGCTACATTTTTTTCCCTCCTGTCACGAATCAGCGAGCATATAGGACAATCTTTTTGAGATATTTTTAAAAAATTTGGTTGAGTATAATACATACGATCAAATAGACCATGAACAACCAATATTAATTCCGGCGTAGACTATCAATGATGACCAATCGATAGTCCCCAATTAATTAATTTATTCTTCCAACATTCACCAATCARTTTTCTTTGATTTAATTAGATTCAGTCAAACTGACTCTCTCTAGCTTACTTTTATCTCTCTTTAAACGTCAATTATTACAATGAACTTTATTCAGTGTGAAAAAATGCAAGTATACAAGTATGGCAGTATTGTAATCAATCTGCAATGAGATTATAATACTCAACCTACAGCCTCAGTTCTCTGGCTTTTTTAACCAATTATTCAATATTATTAGACATGCATGTAGTTAATTGGGCTTTTTTCCTCATGTTTAAGATGATRATGATTTTATAATTCAATATTTTCCTAAAATTTAGTGTCTGTAAAAAGGAAATGTAAACAACTGTGTAATTTGGAGGAAAGAATTGGACAGTGAATGACATTCAGTCATCTTCATGTAAAAACCATAAAACCTTGGAAAACATTGTGTCTTCATCACACTCAATATGTATGAAAGTCTCAAAAGTACTAGTGTTGGATTATTGGTGGATTGGCAGATGAGGAACATGATGTTTCATGATCCAAGATCCAATAAGTTTATTAATAATGGGAAAAAAAATATCTTGATTTTTTTATAAAATTTCAGTATCTAATTATTAGTTATGAATATTAAAATAAAAATTATAGGATAACAACTGCAAATTCAAGGTAAAAACAATTTTTGATCCGCACAATCCAGTAAACCGAAGTCCAGTCCATTCCAGCCATGCTCGGTTCCGGATTTTCGAAAAATAAAAAACGCTCATTATTCAGAATCTAAAAAGATAAATCAGTTTTTAAAGGTTGGGTATGTTTTTGCTATACATTAAGATTATCCATGCCCTTTCAAAAGGAAAAAAAATCTTTTTTTTAGAAAAATAAATAATTTTGCTATACAAGATCTAGAATCTTAGCATTGAGCCAATAGAACACTCAATGGACGTTGGTAACGAATGAAAGTCTCATACGTACTAAAGTGTTTGACTGTTAGCAGATGACCAGCCAAGAAGCAAGGCAATATTGTTTTATTTGGACTAATTTCTAACATACTATTTTTTTGTGATTTTTATGATAAGTATAAGTATGGCATTGTTGTAATCAATCTGCAATGAGATTATACTGGGCACACAGCCTCAGTCCTCTGGCTTTTTTAACCAATTATTTCAAAATTAGATAGGCATGTACTAAACTGGGCTTTTTTCCACATGTTTAAAATGATGATAATTTTATAATTCAGAAGTATTTCCAGCAAATTTAGTGCACGTGAGAAAGAAATGTAAACAAAGGTTTTGTAAATAACTACTATACTATGTCTATTCTTTGCATACATATTTACACTGTTCAACTTACCTATAGAGAAAAGATATCGCTCTGGGATCCTCACGAATACCCTACATTTCATATTCTGGCTGCGTTACCAGCGTGGCTGGTCCTTGTGGTATAGTGGTTAACACATCAGATTGAAATACCAAAGACGTGGGTTTGATTCCCGCCAAGGACATTTGATATTTTTCTCTTATTCTCTCTGTCGTAAATAAATATGGATGAAAGAATTATTGGACAGTCAATGAGAGTCATGTATTTTACTGTACTTTTAGACATTAGCTCTATTCAATCTGCGTTCAGGAGTAATGACACAGAGATGGAGAGGTCATGACAAAGAAATTACCAAGGTAAATATTCTCAATGAATTAGAGTTACCGTAAATTAGAAACAAAAAGGTGTTGTAGTGGAAGTACACTTGTCTCCCACTTCGAGGGTCTCATATTCAATTCCTGAACGGTTGTTGGGGCTCTCTCTTGATTTTTAGCATTTTCTCCTGTTTTAACCCTCCCTCTATAAAACCATGCTAAATTCCAATTCAGTCTATGAGATAGCTTTGCCATGACACATATTTTTTWATGTATAAACTTAGGTTGTTGTATCGAAAGAAGAAATTGTTTACAGCTCATCAAGAGATAAAAATATAAAACTATGGAAAATAGGAGATGGTAGCAGTAGTGAAATAACTACCTACGAAGGTCATAAGCTTGTGGTTACTGGGATAGATCTCAATACAGGTATGTTATTTGGTACAAATAAAAAATTATGCTGTCAGAGCGAGTAAGAAGAACCTCAGCTAGCTTAGTTTTGAGAGTATGACCACAGTCCAGAAATTGAAGGACTGAAAAGTTTAGAACCCGCATCAAGTAAGGTTTGTTATTTGCCGCAATTCATCACTAGTGACTTTGAAATTTTTGCTAGTGAGAGCAAAACTGTTAGARTGTTAAAAGCTAATTTCATGTGCTGGGGCGTGGTATAATTTAGTGCAAAAACTCAATCTCCTTGGGACACTGATAACTGGCTTATAAATGGAGGTTGTCACTTTACAGTGGTATAGATTACTGAAAAACTGGAAGTTTCTTGTTCATAACTTTGATGATTTCTTTTCAGATGAGACAATGTTGTTTTCTGGATCGAGGGATAACAGTGTACGGCTGTGGGATGTGAATGTTGGGGACTGTATACAACAGAGTGAGGTGACAAGAAACCTGGTGAGGTGCAAACTTATTAACTCATTTGTTAAAACCAAGTTCTAATAGGACATTTGCATGATGGCGTCATTTGACTCCCACTACCAAGATGCTTCACGAATTTTTTTTCTTATTTTAATTTGTATTCCCTCATGGGAATAGTGAGACAATTGGTGCTAATTAACTGAACAAAAGAAAGTGTGCAAGGGAGTCTGGTAGTAGAGGTCAATGACGCCATCATGCAAACGTCCTATTCTAAACAATGTAATCTGTTTTAGAGGGAAGGTCGATGTAACCAGTGAAATAAAAAAATATTAGTCAAATAGACACAAAAGAAAACAATGGAATTAGGGTCTACTAAAGGATATTCAATTTAGTCTAATATACATTTCATGGGTTTGGTGACTTCATGTTTAACATTGTACGTTTAGCTTTGAGAATACCAGTAGTACCTTATCGATAAACAATAATTTATTAGCTACATTAAGTTTGATTAATCTTATCAATATTCAAGGTATCTTGTGTAAAATGGATTCCAGATTCCCATGAAGTTGCACAAACTGGAGAAGATAAAATGGTCAGGTATGAACAATAATTTGGCTAAAGAATTTTCTAATCTGCAAGTGAGGGGATATTTTTTTAGCTGGAGATAATCCCAAATTTGAGTAGGAAGGGGAAGAGGGATTTGTCTTGACAATATCTTGGGGTAGAACAACCTGAAGGTCAAAAACGTATTCTTTAGGAACAATCAGACCTTTCCCGAATTTGCTTGTCGCTGATCACGAAACAGTGGTTTCAAGACAAGGTTTCATGGCCATTCAAGAGAATTCGGGAAAGGTCTGTTGCATTATATTTGTTGTCTTGAAGTAATGTTATTTTTTTCATGTTTTGGTTCAACCTAACTCCCTGAACCCCAACCCCTCCTGAACCCTTAACCCATTTCATCTTGCACCCTGCACCCACTCATGTGGATAGTAATAGGACGGAGTTTGCTCTGAGTTGAGATCAAAATCATGACCTAGGATTGATCAATTTATAATATTATACCAGTCAAGATTTAGGCCCACTTTCTGCTTTTTGCAAGGCTGTGAAGTTGTAAGGCTGTACGATTCTGATTGATAAATAGTTCTAGTACAGTTTTTTGCAAGTGTGTCATGACATGTGGATTGTTATTGTCACACACCCTCATAGCAAGAATGACCGTAAGACCTTGCAGAGAAACCTTACACCCAAATGCAGACCCTAAACCGGGACACATTTGTATAATATAATGATAATGATAATAATAATATTAAAATTTACTTTATTTCTATAGCGCCATTTCCATTTCTGTCCAATGGCGCTTTACAATATGAACTRATATCTATGTGCAATTATAATATCAAAAACCTAAATATGTTGTCTAAAGCTAAATTTATTAATATTTATTAAGCTATTATTATTTTTAATTAAATTATTTTAATTATGTTATCATTTTTGTCCTAGAATCTGGGATACCAGAACCATGACACCAGCTTTTACTTTCCCTCCAAAGCAACACTTCCAGGTAAACTAGTCTACTGAACAGCACAAGTCTTGGTTCAGAACCTGTTTTTCTCAAACAGTTGCCTTTCCACACAAAATTAAAAACTTTTTCGCACAACTTCAAGGATCTTATCAATAGACCTCTTTGGTTCTGAGGTAATGTTTTCCCATTTCAGACCACATGTCATTCCCTAGAGTATCATTTCTTTGTCTAAGGTTTGCGCTCGGTTGCACATGAGAAGACACATGAATATGGATACAGCTCAAACAAAGAATCTTATTCTCAAGGGAATGACACATGGTCTGAAATGGGAAAACATTACCCCAAGCCTAAGAGGTCTATTCTTCTATCTATAAGCATGGGTGGTGTACACTACTAATGCACCCCTTCTAAATGATACGACTAAGGATTCAATTCCTGGCTAAGTGTCATGCGAGTAGAGTTGGTTGCTGGTTCTCTCGTGTGCTTTTAGAGTTCTTTCTCTGGTTTTTCCTTTCTAATTCTCAAGAAATCAACATTAACTAAATCATTTTTAATCAGATATATAAGCTGCATTATCAAGTGGGATGAAAAACTCGTTAGGCTTTCTGCCGTCCAACCTGGAGTTTTATATCCAATTAGATTTTTCAAATAGCCATCAGTATAAAGTCAAGTAGATGTTGGTCCTGATGTTGGTTCAACCAATCACATGATTGTCATGTTTATTTCAGACGTGCTGCGATTGTTCTAGTGATGGACGATACATCCTAACCTGTAATAATGGGTTCAATAGGAGCGGATGTGAAGCAACAGTAAGTATGGTGTTGCTGTTAATATCCTGTTAAGGGGTGACTCTAGTTCATATTTTATATATTATATTTTTAAAAAAATACTTAATATTCCTGTTTGAATTTCCCTAACTTTTCTTATTTAATTTAGCTATGGGATGTGCGACAAAGGAAGCAAGTCCATCAGTATGTGGGTCATGATCAAACAGCATCAGCTTGTATGTTTCTACCATTTGCAGATGACATTACAACACAACCCTTGTAAGGATTACTAACTAGTCGTAACAAATGTTTCTGAGAAAAAAACATATGAGTTCAAATTTGACTAAGAATGAAAAGATCCTTTTTTAAATTATTCTATTCCTTTTTTCATTGATTGTCATTCATATTTTCTTTAATTTTTTGTTCTTTTTTTCCATAAATATTTTTCTTTTCTGTTTTTCAGAATAGCCACAGCATCACATGATTCTACGGTACGAATCTGGAAAAGAGATACAAAAGGTACACTGCAGCACTATTCTCACCATGGAATTTGAACATGAAAAGCCCATAAAACGAGATTTTTTACATTAACGCTTATTTTACATGCGCACATTTTAGCTCATTTGCAGGAAACGAGAAGTAAGGGAAAAAATTTTGATTCAACCAAACTATCTATTTTCTTTTCTTGTTTCCCCGCACGAACTATTAGCCGGTGCTTGATTACGAGGTAGTTGGGAACAGTTGCCGAAGGGCTGATTTTTCCCACATCTTATTCCATTCATGCCTAGGTCTTTGTGAGAGAATTCTCATAGTGAGAATATATAACTATATAAATACAGTGAAATATAGTGACAGACAGTTAAACCCTTGTTATAAGCCTCTTCTCCCCCTGGCTATAATTCCCCTCCCCCTGGCTATAATTCCCCTCCCCCGTTATTAGCACACCCTGTGGTATAATATTAATCAAATTATTAGTAAATAATATTAATAAATACTGTGCAATTCTGTTGTTTTCCAGAATGTATTTTGATTGAGGAATTCCCTGGGTCTGGTCCACTAACAGGCTTAGCAGCATTTAAATCAGGAAGGTAGGTTCAAACCATGGTACAGATGTTAGTTTTACACATTCAATCTTTTTTCAATAGTCATTCATTCGTAATTGAATTATATYCTTTTTTTATTTTTCAGTATTTTAGTCTCTAGTTTCAATATTGGAATTTACAATTTATCGCTGGAGAGAAGAGATGATGGACGACTTACCCTGAAAAGAATGATTCACTTTTAACAAAAATTGTCACTCTTACTAAATCATGTAAATATTAGAAGAAAATGCGTTAGATTTTAGTATTAGAAGCAAACATAGATGTTAGCCAATCAAATGCATGAAAATCTATCCAATTACAATGCAGTTATAATTTGCACTAGACCATAAGTGTGAGCTTCCTGTGGCAAGTTGGTACTGAATAGTAATATTTAATACTGAATATAAGTATTTATACAGGGTAGCCCATTGATGGCTCATAGGCTGATATCTAGAGACCTTGAAGGACTCTGAATAACACAGGAAGCCCAACTTTAGCAAATAGTTTAGATAGAAATCTTTAGTGTCAAAAGCATCAGATATATTACCCTGGGTGCCAGAGGCCGTGTGAGGCTTGGGGAGAAGAGAGAGAGAGAGAGGGAGGAGGGGCTGGGCACCCAGGGTACATATTTATCAGTTCATATTAAGTATAAAATGTTCTACTGTGTAAATAATATTCACCTTTGCCCAGTTGTACAGAGAGTGCATGGACACCACTATCCGATGGATAAATCCTATCCAGTGGATAAATTTATTGCATAACAGTGATGATTTATCTGTTGGTTATTGCTATCCACCCTCCGTACAACTATGCCCTATAGTCATTGTCATACTTATTTATTATTTTATTTATGCAAGCTGCAACAAGACCAGGGTACATTTGTACAATGGGGTGGATAGCACTATTCAATGGATAATTCTTTATCCACTTGATAGGATTTATCTGCTATACACCCTTCGTACAACTGGGCCAATAGCAGACAACATTCCATATTCAGTGACTATTTTAAGTTCCCATGTATGTGGAAATAAGAGTATTCTAAATATTATATGAATGATGTCACTTTGTGTTGTATTTGATGGTGCAGCAGTGAGTGTTCGGCTCTTATTCCTAGGCAAAAGAAAAATGTAATTCTCATAAAAAGTGGGGGTGGGGTGGGTGGGGATAAAGTCTTCCAAGCTCTCCTGTCTCTGCCGTCTATGTAGACAAATTGAGCACTGGTCTCCTGGACTCCATTAAGTCCATTCCATGATTTCTGCAATCATCTCTGTCATTGGACCTCTTAAGTGAACAACAAAACTGCAATTTTTGGAAAGGATGCACCAAACGAAACGACAAATTTAGAAGAGGGAAAAAATGACAAATAATACCATAGGGGGAGGGGTGGGTAGGGAAGAGCTGATGTAATTCTCTACGTCCAGCGGTCTTCCACAGTCTTTTCAAGATGGCGGACGATGTGGACGTGAATGTTGACTCTCGCGAAGATGTTGAACAAATGTTCACAGAAGCCACAGAATACGTGAAAATTTTACAAGGACTGAGCGATGAAGATAAGCTTTTATTCTATGGGTTGTATAAACAGGTATATTTAGTTTCTTTTATAATATTTCTGTATAATACATTAGCCGTTTGTTTGTTTGATGGCGTGACCAACTAAACAACGGTTGGATTTTACTTTTTTCTCCCCAGAAAACATCTGATAAAATCACAACCTTTTGTTTTAATACTTTCAAAAATGGATAGCTTAGACTTAGCAAAATGTTCCTTTTTTAATTGTAACTCTTTTTTGCACTCGAGATAAAGCGTTCACATTTTTTGTCATCTTGTTTTGTACGTAGGCCAAAGAGGGTCCAGTAAAAACATCTAGGCCGGCCTTTTGGGACTTCGTTGGCCGAGCTAAATGGTAAGTCTTCAGTTCTCTCTGATATCTTTTTAAGTTCTAATTTCTTGATATCCAATTCAAGCTTTTATCACTTATTTCATATTATTTATTCCACACACTGTAACTGGTATAAAATGGTATTTCTTTTATTTATGCCACAAGGGATGCCTGGAAATCTCTTGATAAGTTGGACAAGGAAACAGCCATGGATAGCTACATTCAGAAACTGTACTGTCTTGATCCTGATTGGGATATCAAATATCTGACGTGCAGCAAAGATGTGAGTATTTTAAAAGCAAATTAAAGCTGCAAATGATTTTTTTTTATTAGCATGTCGATCATTTGTCAATTAGACCAGAAGCTTAATGACCTTTCAAATTCCAAGTGTGTCTGGACAATTTTTTTAAATATTAGACATTTATTCTAAAAGTGAGCTTAGCCGGCTGATTAATTACTTTTATGTAAACTGTTTGGTCAAATTATCAGCCTAGGCAAATCATTTTGGGTAAAGGGTTTGTGAAAGTGATGGGTCGGGCCATGTCATTTTTAACCTTGGTTTATTGTAGTTTTTATTTTCTGTTGTAGGCAATATCTGCTTCAAGTAACGCACCAAAACAGCAGACCATGGGTTTGGCTGTCAGTACTTTGAGGCGTGGATGGTGTGACGAATTTATCAGGTGATTAAAATGAATGAAAAAATGCCAAAAAAACGCATGGATAAATATAAGGCAAATGGATAAATGGATTGATGAGAGTTGAATGAATGTATTGGCAAAGAAATGAATACATAACTTATCTTGTGTCACTTACAGTGATGTGAACAAGTCTGTTTTTGACTGGTGTAAGGAAGGGAATGTCAAGAGATTGGACCACTTGTTGTCTAAGGGTCAAGACATCGACCAAAAGGATGACCAGGTATGAAATAGTAAATCTATTTATTTATTAACTTATGTCCTTGAGTGAGTGATGGATGGATGGATGGATGGATGGATGGATGGATGAATGAAT